AATGATGCCCGTTACGCCTTTTGGACTCTAAGATTCGTGTGGGTATGAACCATTTGAGAACTGGAAATCTCAGTATCTGGCACAGCCCTCAATAAGTAATTATTGATTGGGATGGGGAATACATGTAACTTCATGGCTGATTCATGTCAATGTATGACAAAACCCACTGCAATGTTGTGAAGTAATTAGCCTCCAACTAATAAAAATAAATGAAAAAAAAAAAGAAAAAAAATAATTATTGAATGAATGAATAAAGGAGTAAATAAAAGTCCTGAATATCCCCACTTCCTTCCATTTCCTCTGCCTCTTCTGCAGTACAGGCCACCATCAGTTCTCAGCAACTTAATTCACAATTTATCAATCCCATAATCGAAATATCCTAACTGATATCCCTGCTCCTAGAGTTGCAGAACTCACCTGGCCCAAGCACCACTGCAGTTCATTTGCCACACTGCAGTTAAAGAGTTTTCATGAAACACAAGAATCTGATCATGATCATGCCTCTTCCCTACTAAAAGCGCTTCAGTGAGTCTCAGGAATTATCCTGATTTGATGCTCTGCTTTATGGCTGTTTAAAGTGGAAGTGTTAGTTGCTCCGTCTTGTCCAACTCTTTGTGACCCCATGGACTGAAGCCCACGAGGCTCCTCTGTCCATGGGATTTCCCAGGCAAGAATACTGGAGTGGGTTGCCATTTCCTCCTCCAGGGCATCTTCCTGATCCAGGGACTGAACCCAGGTCTCCTGCATTGCAGGCGGATATTTTACCATCTGAGCCAGCAGGGAAGCCCTTACAGCTATTATCCCAGCCCCATTTCAATCTGAAAAATGGCCTGGATTGGACAGTAACGATGTGATCACCCTGGACCTAATCTATTGTCTGCTTACATTTGCAGCCTCATTGCCCCTCACTCTTTCTTCAGTCCTACGTGTTATCTAGTCTTACCGAACTTAAAGCTTTTGGTGTTGCACTCACTATTCTCACAAGCTCTTTCTTCTGCCTGAGTAGTCCCTTCCGTCTTTACCTGGCAGACTCCTACCATCCTGGTCTCAGGGTACAGTTTCCTTTACAGAGGAGCTTCTTTGACCCCCCAAGGTTATGTCAGGTACCTCTTCCTTCATATTCCCGGAGCATCTTGCACCCTAGCTCTTGCCTCACAGTTTTCACTACCTGTTAACTTCTGTGGCTTCCCCACTAGCCTCAAAGCTCTCCTAAGTCAGTGACCACATCTGCTCGCTGCACAGTTGAATCTGGTTCCTAACCCAAGGCCCCCCAGATAGATAACATTAAGCAAATGACTGAAGTAAAGCACCCCATGCTATTAGGATAATCAAGGTACACGTGTAGAAAAATGGTCTTCCACAGTAAATCTTCTGGGAATATGGCTCATTTGTGACTATAAATAGTATATTGTCTTCTTGCTTCTGTTCATCGTGTTTGTAATAATAGTGGAAATGATTCTGTGTTCCTTTGATTAAAAGTTCATTCTAGGACAGGATTTGGAGTTGGTACACACTGTCAATTCCAGGAAGTCTTGCAGGTGATAATGTTGCAAAACAAAGCAAAGAACAGCTGTTCTCTAGCCTTTTCAAGCAGTTGAGGCTGCTTTTATTTCAACTTTGTACAGCAGATTGGTTTTTAAAGTTATTTGCTTTGAAGTTAAAGTGAAATTTACTCTCATTATTCTAATATATCATAGATTGCTTCAGTTCCAAATTCTATTTTCACACTAATAAAAACATAATGCCTCATGCTTCGGATATAATTATTTGTATTGTTTTACTTGAAAATTTGAAATTATGTGCTTTTAGATGATCAGTGTTACACTGATATTTGATCTGCCAGAGAATGCAACCTTTTTTTTTTTTTTTTCCCCACATGCATTGGCTAGAAAGAAGTTCTAGCCACAGAACTAAAACTAGAAAGAGCCACAGAACTAGAACTAGGCCCAGGTCTAGGATGGACTTACCTAGGGGTCTGTGAACATTATTCTAGTAAATGAAAAGAAATGTTCATCACTTTTATTCCAAACAGAAATAGCTTTAGTGTTTTTATTACAAAATCAATATATATTCACCCAAAAAAAAAAAATCAAGAAAGATAAAGAAGAAAATAAAAATCATCTAATCTCCCACTTTTAGGCTACTGTATTAAACATTTTAAGGTATACGTTTCTCACCTTTCTTTTCTGCATAGGTAGACATATCAGTATAGTTCTTGAAATGAAAACAGTATCTTTCCACACATATGGCTTTAAAATGTGTTTTTCCACTTGACAGGTTTCTCCTTTACAGGAGAAATCTGAATAAAGAGCATGTTAGGAAGTTTCGCTTTCTAGTGTACTGGGTGGTGTATTTTCCCTTTCTCCACCCCTCATTAAGAAAACTTAAATCTGTATTACTTTTTGAATCAGCCAGGTTCATTTGAAGGAAACAAAAGCCATCTAGCTGTTTTAAGCAGAAAAACAGAAAATTTTTAAATTTGATATTTTAAAAAACAGGTGTTTGTAATATTGTTGGGAAGTCTAGGAGAGGGGACCCTAGGCTGATCCTCCAGAAATACACCTGAACTGATGAACTTGGATTGTCAGGGCTCCTGCCCGCTCCCCGTGACCAGAGAGATGGGGAGTCAGAAAGCAGCCGTGGAATGGCTGTTCCACAGACGCATCGCCCCAGCTGACACACAGGAGCCAGCTTGTCACTGTCACCACTACTGGCCCGAGAGCCACACCGCATCTGCTTGATCCACACTGTTGAAAATGGCTGTCTGGATCCCCGTGTCTTGCTCCTCTCCCCTCACTAAGCCTGCACACGGGAAGCTGAAGGACAAACCAAAGTCTCCATGACTCTGCTTAGCATCAGCAATCAAAGATGTCCTCTACTCACTCTGTCTCTAAAATTTCAAATTAGTGCATCTAACTGGCAGAACCTAAATCATGTCTGGAATCCTAGTTCAAGGAAGTCTAGGAAATGTAGTTTTGAGCTTTCCAGTCCCTGCAGTATAAGGCAGCCCAAGCCCATCAGTCAGGAGCCTGGAGTGGACATTGAATATTGCTATATTCACCACTCATCGAGGCTCTGGGTGTTTGGGTTTTGTTTCTTCTGGATGCATCACTATACAAAGAAGCACAAACTGGCAACATAAAGAGGGATAGTTTATCAGAAGTGGTGATATATACCATTGCAATTTATTCAGTTCATCCTTATTGCTATTTACTCTTTTTTTCCCATATAAACAGTGTCTTGATAAACTGCTTTTCACAGAGTCTCTAATCGCCTCCATGTTCCTACACCCAGTGGGCAATTCTCAGGCCCCATTTTACTTGATCTTTTACTTGACTTTTGACATGGCTATGCATCCTCTCATTAAAACTCTTTCTTCACTTGGTTTCCAGAACTTCATGCTCTCCTGATGTTCCTTCTATCTCACCTACTCATTCTGAGTCTCCTTGCTGGTTCCTCCTCATCTCTGTAACTCAGTGTTGGGTCCCCCAGGATTCAGTCTCTCTTCTCTGCTTAACTTCCTGGCTCATCCTATCCAATCTTATGGCTTTAAATACCATGAAGTCCACACCCGTGTATCCAACAGCTGCTTGGCCAGCATGTATGTTTTTAAGCTTTAAAAACATCTCAAATATAACATTTCTAAAATTGAGCTTCTGTTTTTTCCCATTATGTATATTCTACTCACTTCTCCATTTCAGTTCCTGGGACAAAATCCTGAGCATCATCCTTTCTTTCTCTCTCTCACATTCACATTCAATCCATCAGCAAATCCTGTTGATTTTGCCTCCAAGAATATCCACAATCCAACACTTTTCTCCACCCCACCGCTCCAAGCCATTGTTATTTCTTCTTGGACTTTTGCCCCAACCCATCAGTGGCCTCTGTGCCCTCTCTAGAGTCTAAAAGTTAGAACAAGTCAGCCCTCTCCTCAAAGTGCACCAATGAAATTCCATCTCATTCAAGACAAAAGCCCCAAACTTTTTACAGCAGCCCAAAGGCTCCTTATGACACTACCACCCTTCCTGCCCTCTCTCTCATTTCCTTTCCTGTTATACTATTTATTATTGAATCTTCACTGCCTGGAGCAGCGTCTGGGCACATTTTTTAAATGAATATGTTTCTTTATACACGTGCCATTGTGTGCTTGTCTAATTATTTAGTAGGAATTAATTCCTGATGTCAAAGGTATGCACAAACTTGCCCAGAAAGGTTTTAACAATTTGTTCTTCCAACAAGAGTCAATGAAAATGTCTTTTACCGGATACCCTCACCAACATCACGCCCTCATCCCACTATTCCTTCCATTCCTTGAGCTCACTCTGTTCATCCCCACTTGATATATTTGCATTAACTCCTCCCTCCTCCCTGAATGCTCTCCAGCCACAATTCTTCCTGTTACTGAAGTCCCACTTTAACTGTTCTCTCCTTGGAGAAGCCTCCCCTGGCCGTCAGCTGTAAAAAGCTTCCCAGTCACTCCATTTCACATCACCCTACTTTATTTTCATTATAAGCTTATTTCACTACCAGGTTATTTTCTTATGTGTATATTTATTTGTTTGTGTTCTCTCTCTAGAATTTAAGCTTCATGAAAATAAAGAGTTTCATAAGTCTTTTTCAACACTATCTCCAGTAAATATGTGTTTGATAGTGGAATAGACCCTGGGTATTGTCATTTTTTCATTATGACTAACTACTGGGTGGGAAGTAGATTTAACAAGAATTATTTTTCTAGACTGGTGAAGCTAAGCAACTTTTCAAGTATGAAAGCTGCTTTTTTAAAAAACAGCAAATGCTAAGATGACCTAGAAGTTGAAATATTCAGTTAACATATTTGTTTTAGATATGCTGTATCTGATTTCTTATATTTCTGGTAAGTTGCATGATTTCTTAAGTTTCTGAAGTGTCCTTTTTCATTTATGTCAACATTAGTATCTGTAAAGTAGGATTCCTTCTGCAGATTGTACTCACATACTGTTGTTTTCTTTTCATCTCCACAGCTTTTGGAAAGAACCAACAGTGTTTTTGAAGAGTCAGATTCCGGTGCTACCAAGAGTCCGCTCCATTTAGCTGTAAGTGAGATGCTGTGGGTAGCTTCACCTTGTTACAGAAGAACCCTAAGTGTTCCCAAAACCAGGCTGCTCTTAAAAGGAAAGCATAGCAATGCAGTAATAATTCATAATGAAAACAGTACATGGATGAAGCCTCAGGCAGCAGAGACAGAGTGTGTCTCCAGTTCCAATCCCAGTTTCACCCACTGGTGACTTTTATATCACTCACCTTGTCTGAGCCTTGTAAATTCCTTGTAAATTTCCCCATCTGTAAAACGAGGACAAAGGAAAAGAGACAATGTGCATGGAGCCCAATCACAGTGCTCTTAATAATGATTGTTACAAATTTTAGCAGTCTTTAAAATTATTATCTAGTAATAATCATTAGTAACCGAGGAAATTTTTATTTTTATTTTAGAGATGTAAATATAGACAACAAGCATTGCACTGTAGATAATTGAATACCATAGTTAAAAACTTGTGAGATATTTAAACACAGACTTGTGAGAGCACGATGAAAATATGCATGAAAGCAACTCTTTAGCTTCTGCTGAGGTTTGAAATCGAGGTCTCATAGGAAGAATCAAACCCTGCTTCTTGTATCTGGTGAGATTTGGGAAGGAGGTGAAAGTGAAAGTGTTAGATGTTCAGTCGTGTCCCACTCTTTGCAACCCCGTGGACTGTAACCCACCAGGCTCTTCTGTCCATGGAATTCTCCAGGCAAGAATACTGGAGTGGGTAGCCATTTCCTTCTCCAGGAGATCTTTCAGACCCAGGGATCAAACTCTGGTCTCCGACACGGCAAGCAGATTCTTCACCATCTGCGCCACTAGGGAGGTGAGCAGAAGTTATTCTGTCACCAGTAAAGCTTCCTCTCCACATCCCATCATTGAAAGGAAATGCAATAGCTCAGAGTGAGAATCACCAAACTCCCCCTGAGGGTGACAGAGCTGAGAAGCTTACCACCACTCTATGTCTGTGAAGGTCTTGCTAATCAACAGCTGTTCCCTGGAAACCTCTCGGACTGACCACAGCTCACCTGCACAAGGCGCTGCTGAGTTGTGAGACCTCAGTACAGGACCATCAAGATGTTTGGACGCAGCTACAGACTGGATACTGGGAAGAGTAGGATGCTGGGTCTCTGTGTTTGACAGTTATGACATTGTACTCAGTCCCACTCACACATAAGCACTTTTTCAGTTTCATTCTGATGAAAAAATGAGACGGAGATTTTGGAGAGCTGAGAGGAGTATTTTACTGATGGACATACATAGGAATTCAGGCAGGGTAGGAAGGGATGAGGATTGGGATGAACTGAGGCAGGTAGGATGTAGGTAGGAAGGGATGAGGCCATCCCATGAAGATTGGGATGAACTGATCATACTCCATGGAGCCTTTTCCTCCTTGCCAGTCTCCTCAGGTACTTACCAGCCCATCTGCTAGCATCTCACCACCCTCTGCCACATCTACCGACATAATCACTGTATGCGCAGTGATAAATATGCACATGCCGAGTTCTGTGAAAGCAGGCTAAAATGTCCATGAGTCTTTCTTCTGGGCATGGGCTTAGAGTAGAAAAGGTGGGTGGATATTTATATGTATAAAATTTCATACCAGTTGTCTCTTAGTACAATCTCTGCAGATGGTGACTGCAGCCATGAAATTAAAAGATGCTTGCTCCTTGGAAGAAAAGCTATGACCAACCTAGACAGCATATTAAAAAGCAGAGACACTGCTTTGCCAACAAAGGTCCGTCTAGTCAAAGCTATGATTTTTCCAGTGGTCATGTATGGATGTGAGAGTTGGACCATAAAGATGGCTGAGCACCAAAGAACTGATGCTTTTGCACTGTGGTGTTGGAGAAGACTCTTCAGAGTTCCTTGGACTGCAAGGAGAGCAAACCATTCAATCCTAAAGGAAATTAGTCCTGAATATTCATTGAAAGGACTGATGCTGAAGCTGAAACTCCAGTACTCTGGCCACCTGAGGCAAAGAACTGACTCATTGGAAAAGACCCTGATGCTGGGAAAGATTGAAGGCAGGAGAAGAAGGGGATGACAGAGGATGAGATGGCTGGATGGCATCACTGACTCGATGGACATGAGTTTGAGAAACTCTGGGAGTTGGTGATGGACAGGGAAGCCTGGCATGTTGTAGTTCACAGGGTTGCAAAGAGTTGGACACGACTGAGTGACTTAATAAAAAACAAAGCATGTTGCTCTAAAGGTTGACCCTAGAACCTCTGCCAGCCATTTGATGGGCCTGGGGAAGTTAGCCCAAGGCTGGGCTTCACAGACGCTCTAGCTGCCCTAAGAGATGCCTATCAGAAAGGTTATCTCAGATAGAATTCTCATGTCCTTTGACACTGTGGTTGATTGCATTGCTGAGCCCACTGGTAATCTGAGAGGAGACTTTCTTAGCTTCCAAAAATTTTATAATCTCTCATTCTTTTTTCTTTCAAAAACTATTGAGTGGTTGCTGGATGCTAGGTGCTCTGCTAAGTATTATGGGTTTCCAGTCATGTAAAGACAGGGTGTTATGGTATCACTGGAGAGAGATGGGCTTGGGTTGTTCTCCAGCTGGCAGGGGCCTAGTAAGCACCCCCTGGAAAGAGGGGTTCCCAGCCAGCAGTCTTCTCATTAGCATCTCACCTGGACATGGTCTTCCCATCTGTAAATTAAAAAGGAGTGAGTTAATGAACAATCCCCAAACCCTTTCCAGCTTGTTAATTTGTTGTATGATCTTGGGCAAAAACTAACTTCTTGTGTCTCAGTCTCCCCACCCATTATATGGGGAGAATAGCGGCACCTCTGTCATAGGGCCGTGGTGGGGATGACATGGGTTACTGCGTGTAAAGCAGCTAGACCAGCAACCGGAGCTTATGTGGAATCAGCTGGGGCTTCCTCCTTGCTCTTAGTAACGCCAGTATCATTCTTTCCTTTGACACGCTGACTGTGCATGTGCCAGGCACGGTTTCAGAAGCTGGAGAGAGGGCAGTAAACAAAACCCAGCCGCTGTTTTTGTAGAGTGTCCAGTCTAGGAAAGACAGTAGGCAAGCAGAGCAGATGGTCAGAGGTGCGTGCTGCTCCTGCTGCAGACAGGAGCCGTGAGCTGGAGAGCATCACGACGGCGGACGGGGTGATGTTTCTCACAGCATAGAACCTCTCGTTTGAACAGCAACTCGATGAGCTACCCATTTGGTCTCTGACCAAAGAGTGTTCTGGGCAGAAGTGCAAAGTCCCTGGTATGAGCATCTTGGCATGTTCCCAGGACAGCAAGGCCACCGTGGCCAAAGCAGAGTGATGAGGAGGAGAGATGAGGGACGCGTATTGTCAGCAGGCGGGGGAGTGTGGCAGGGCAGGGCCTCAGACTCCAGTGGGAACTTTGACTTTTTTTCTGACACAATATAAAACCATTTGGAGGGTTTTGAGGAGACAGATGATGTGATATGGCTTTTATCTTAATAGGATCACTTTAGCTTCTATGTTGAGTTTAAATTGTCAGGGAACAAAGCAGAAATAAGACAACCATGATAATGATGGCTTTGACAGGGTGATAGCAGTGGGTTAATCCTAAAACTGTTTTGTATTTTTCCCTGTAAATGCTAACACTTTTTAAAGAAATTAGTATTTGCTCCAAGAACCCCACAAGTATGCCCATCACCCTCCCCAGGACCTTCTGTAGCAATTAACTTGATTAAAACTCAAGACACATTATTTCTTCCATGGACGAGTCTACAATGAGAGAGAACCAGATGCCCCCAAACCTTGACTGCCCCCGAGAAACCTGACCTGCCTTGAGTTACTGTTTCCTGGCTGAATGATTCAAGTCTCCAGGGTTATCCGCCCAGTGAATTTCATAAGCATTTCATCCACTTGAAAAAAATTAAATTGAGAAACAAGGCTATGCAAATGAAAGGCTCCAGCTGTCGAGTTTTCCAGATGGACCGGTTGTTCCGTGGATTCTGTTGAGATTCCAAATTCTTTCTCCTGCTGCCCTCAGTTCCAATCTAAAACATTTAAAGAAATTAATCATGTTTAAGAAATATTTAAGTTACTTAATGAGATATTTTAAAGTCTTTTGTAAAAAAATTTGGAATGTTTGCTATGTATAGTGAAGGCTTAAACTGGGTTGTCTATTGAAAGCCAAAATACTACATGCTTTTTGAACCAACATATTTGTTCTTTTGTGTGATTACTTCTTCCTTGAGTTATTTAAGAAATTATTTGTGGAGATTTGACTAAAGACTGTGGAAGAAAGGGCATTTGGGGTCAGACTTGTCCTGGAACACACTTCCCACCTGGCTTTTGGGATTCACCTAGTAAATTCACCATTGGGTTTTTGGAGTTTTTAATCTTTGTTTTAATTCAAGTTTTAAAATTTTTTTGCATACAGTTATGCAGAAAACTCTGTAATCTTTCTTTTAACTTGGCTTTTATGCTTCCATTTTTATATATAATTCTTGGATCCATATGGAACTTACTTACATGTGAAAAATAAGGTAATAAATTGATTTTTTTCCTTCAGATAGCTAACCTGTTTTCCCAGCAGTTTATTGAATGCCTCATCCTTGCTGATAAATTTAATGATGCCATTAAAATTTTTTTTAATTAAAAAAAAAGAAATTATTTGTGGAAGTACCCACTGAACACCTGATTTAGGATGGAAATAGAAAAAAAAGTACAAGCTTCATTCTTCATGCACTGCTGACATGAGAAAGATCTTCTTTCCTGACTACTTGAATCTTTTTCAGAGAACTTGAAGTTTTACTGTATTCTTTTTTATAGACTATAAGAACCACATAACTACCTGAAGATAGAGTCATGCATTTAGGCATAGAATAGAGTCCCATATTACATGGTAGTTTGTTTCTAGGGTTAAGCTCTAAAGTGTGAAGGTAAGTGAAAATTCTTGTATTATCAAGTTTACCTTTATTATTTCCCTTAAATTGCTCTGGATGTTTAGTATACATAATTTTATGTCTTCAAGTCTGAATAGTAATGCTTTTGCATACTGAAATT